AATTGGGGGGGACAGTCCCGGAGCAGGGGCTGGAATAGTGGGGGGAGGCAGTCCCGGAGCAGGGACTGGAATGGGGGGTGTGGGAGGCAGTCCCGCAGCAGGGGCTGTAATGGGGTTGGCGGGGAGGCAGTCCTGGAGCAGCGGCTGGAATTGGGGGGGGGGGGGCGCAGTCCCGGAGCAGGGGCTGGAATTGGGGGAGGCAGTCCCAGAGGAAACTTACCTTGGAGCAGCTGAGAGCCGGTACGGAGCGGACTGGAGGATTGGAGTGGAGTGGGGATGGGTGTTGGACTGGGACCTGGCGTGGGCAGTCATACTATGTGTGGAAGCCCCTGTGTTGAGCTGCTGCAATGTAATGTTTACTTGAATTTTTTTTATCTGACTGTAATGTCAATCCTTTAACTATGTCTTACTTATTCTTTAAACACTGTAAAGTTATGCAACTACTTTTCTTTTTATTCCTCGTCCGTATCTAAGATCTGTACCTTGGTATTTTGTACCTAAGATGGTGCCATAAGAGATGACATTGTAAAAATTTTCACCATACTCCTGTACTTCTGTATTTGAGTACACGTGACAATAAAAGATATTCTATTATATTCATTGGAGAGAAATCCCCCCTGTGGAGAATGGAACTTGCAATATCCCCAACAACACTTAACATTCAAAGAAAAGGCTGTGCAACAGGTCCATATTTGCATTATATAATCTAGAAGATCACTACAAGGATTGTCATAGGAGACCACTCACCCTTTTGCCAATATCTGTGGGACAGCTAAAGTGAAATACTCAAAGCATAAGTGGTGCAATTCACATTTGACTATTGCAGTTATATAGTGCATGCCTATAGTGGAAAATTGTTTATTTTTCATGCTTATCATGTGCTGATATATGCCCTTTGTCCAGAAACAATGGGATATAGTTTAATAGAGCTCCACTGCAACATTATTCAGTTCTAGCCTGTAGTACTGTACTTTCTCTGAGCACAGTGTTGTATCATAGTTACTATAATCTATTTGGTCCTTTGCTTTGTGTTGACACATCAGCTCAGCCTTTGGTATCACAGACACACCTCTGTTATCATGGAGGCAATCGTGTAGTAATCAGGCCTGGCAGCAGAGAAACTGTTGCCTGAACCTGTATAGTCTCCTGGGGCAAGTTGAATGTTAATAGTGTGTAATAGGTACATTGGGATCATCAAATCGAACAGCATTTTCTGCTAACATTTTTACTTGGGGAGACAATAAAAGCGTTTGATGTAACAGTGTGTTTCTGAGGTTCAGATGTTGTTTGTCTAATTGAATTACCATTTTGCTCTTAAGTTCAGTGACAAATCTTTCTCGCCCCATGACGCAAAAATAATTATTCTGGAATGAGTGACTGGCAGTCAATAATAAGTATCAATAATTCTTTCCAGGGTGTAACATTCAGGGTTGAAAATAGTGAGCTTGTGATTGCTCGCATTCTCCATGGAGGCATGATCGACCAGCAGGGTTTGCTTCATGTGGGCGACATTATCAAAGAGGTGAATGGGAAAGAGGTTGGAAACGATCCAAAAGTCCTGCAGGAAATGCTGCAAAACGCCAGTGGCAGTGTCATCTTGAAGATCCTGCCCAGCTATCAGGAACCCCATCCTCCACGACAGGTAGGAGCTGCAGCTTTTAAGCTTGGTTGCTAAAGATTTTGCTCCACTGTCAATGATTAATATTGAACTTTATTCTTTCTCTCTTTTTCTCATTGAATTGTCAAGGTAGTTAATTTAATTTAACAGAGACATTCGGGTGACAAGCTGAGGTACACAGAGTGGGATAACAGCAAAACAAAAAGTAGGAGAGAAAAAAAAAGCAATCTCACAACAATGGTTAGACGATATAAGCTTAGCGGCTGAAAAACATATGAAACATGGGTTGATAACAGGATTAAGATCAACTTCATCAATCCAAAGCCAGAGGTGAAGATTTCACAATAGATACAGCTTGCATACAGGTTTCTCTCTCAGTTGTATCAGCATCACTGTCTTTTGCCTATGTTGCACTAATGTTTGTATGGATAGTGCTAACTAAACAGGCAAGAGCTACTGAGATCACAGCGGGTCAGGCAGCATCCATGAAGAGAAAGCAAGCTAACGTTTTGAGTTGAGATGACTCTGCATCAGAGCTGCCTGACCCGCTGTGATCTCCAGCATGTTTTGTTTTCAGTACACATTCCAGCATCTGCGGTAATTTGCTCCTACGAGAGCTACTGAGTTGGGAATCTTGATAATGAAAATGTGCTAATAGAAACAATCTGAAGGTGGACTTTGAAGATTTCAAGAGCTCTTTGAAGGTTGCACCCATCTTCCCTGGCTGTGTCTTGTTGGCCTTGCTGTCAGCAGAGCCGGCCCAGTTTCTCCTTTTCACACCTAGGATTTATTCTATGAATCTAACTATATCTCATTTACTATCTCGATCACTGCCTTTGCTTTTTGCTCTGGTCACCCCCACAATTGTTTCCACTTCCCCACCCCCTTTACAAAAATAATTGCTTAAAAGCACAAATTTCCAACTCTTTTCAGTTCTGAAAATGTGTCATACTGGACTGGAACCGTTAACTCATGACAGGTGCTGCAAGATCTGCTGAGGTTTTCTAGCATCTTCCGTTTTAACTTCTTCGGCAGCTTGTTCCATTATGGCGTCTTAAGGAGGAGTTCTTATCACTTTAGGACCTGTTTGGTCAATGAGGCTTCCTGAAAAAAAAATCAGAAATCTGCAGTCTTAAGAAGTTGGTGTGAAATTCCATGGGGATTTTCCATTAACTGACCAGAGATGTTTTACTTTCTCACAGGAGTTAGCATTGCTAAAGGTGGCGGAAGTTATTACATGAGGTGCCCTACATGATAGATATAGTGAACTTTGGCTAGTCAGATGGTGTTTTATCATATCTTTGTTCATGCACTTTGTTCTTAACTTAAATTTAGCGAAATTTAAAACAAAAATCTTAACCCAAATTTTCACCAGAAGTGGAGAGGTGAAAATCACAGATGTGGCCCAAAATGACAGGTCAAAATGGCACTTCATTTTCACGCAAAATGGAAGGCAGGCTGGGTTTTATACATGAACATTCTATCAAGGCAGCTGAAGTGACATTTTAGTATCTGTGAAGCGTGAAACCCAGAATATACACTTTAGATCTGTTAAGGGCAGGTCTGAACTTTGTGTGGATTCATTTGGTAGCCAGGGTACCTTTTTATTTTAAATTCATCTGCAGGATGAGGGTGTTGCTGGCTAGGCAGCACTTATTGCCCATCTCCTAATTGCCCAGGAGGCTTTTAAGAGTCAATTGCATTGCTGTGGGTCTGGAGTCACATGTCAGCCAGACCAGTCAAAAATGGTATTTTTCTTCCGTAAAGGACATTAGTGAACCAGATAGATTTTTCTTGAAAATCGGCAATGGGTTCGGGATCATTAGAACTCTTATTTCCAGATTTTTATTGAATTCAAATTCCACCTTCTGTCGTGGTGGGAATCAAACCTGGGTCCACAGAACCTTACCTGGAGTCTCTGGATTAACAGTCCAGCAATAATGCCACTAGGCCATTGCCTCCTCAATGGGGTCCCCAATGGTTAAGGTTCTTTGTGTGTAGTCCTGTACCTTTAGCAGGTGTAAAGTAGCTTTAGAAGGTATCCTTAGGATTATTTTGTGCCTGAAATGTGCGTAGAATCCTATCATACAATCCCTGCAGTGTGGAAACAGGCCCTTCGGCCCAACAAGTTCACACTGACCCTTGGAGCATCCCACCCAGATTCATCCCCTTTAACCCACCTAATCTACACATCCCTGAACACTATGGGCAATTTAGCATGGCCAATCCACCTAGGCTGCACATCTTTGGACTGTGGGAGGAAACTGGAGCACCCGGAGGAAACCCACGCAGACTCAGGGAGAATGTGCAAACTCCACACAGTTACCCGAGGGTGGAATCGAACCCAGGTTTGTATCCCTTTGAACTGTGAAGTTGTCAAACAACTTTCAAACCTGTCAAGAATTGTCAAAATGGGCTGGTTTAAGGCACTGGGTGTGTCGTAGGCATCTTCAAAGAGTGGCTAATCTACCTCCCACCCACATCCGTGGAGAAACTCACTGGATTAAGCTCCATTTGGTCACTTCAGAGCTGGCTGGCAGGCTTCTAGGTCTATTACAAGTCACAAAACTGAGCTCGCACTCCAGGCAGGCTTTCGGCCTCTCTCCACAGTGGGCCCTGGTTTCACTGTTTAGAAGGCAACCACTTTGCTCAACTGCCCAGAAAGCAAGAAATCATGCTGATGGTGGGGCTGAGGCCTTTTAAGTGGTCATTAATTGATCACAAGGGCTTTATTTGCAGCCGGTCAGGTAGGCCATCAATGGAACTTCCACACAGGCTCTTGTAATGAAGTGATAGTGTCCCGCCTCTGGACCAAAAGGCCAGAGTTCAAATCCCAGCTGCTCCAGAGGCATGTAATAACATCTCTAAACAGATTGATGGGAAAGATCTGGAACGTGCAGCACAAAACTTAGTTGCTGATGTGGAGAGAAGGGTAATTGTATCTCAGCAGTGCCAACTTACTCAATTATTTGCCCCCTGGGGAGGGGAAAATGCTAGCTTTTATTGAGCGAGAGCACCTATCTTGATAGAGTGGCACCTTAATGTAGAATTTTAATTATAGAATTCTATTTTTTTCTCCTGTCTGCAGGGATACCAATGAATACTAGATGAGAAGGCATGGTAGGTGAAAGGGAGAAGAGCTATGGGTTGGCACTAAATTGGCATAGGGTTATGGGGGCCATGAAGAGAGGGGGGTAGAGATAGCATACTGTGGCATAGGGTAATGAATTGCCATGGGGAATAGATAGAGAACATTAGGTGGCATGGATTGACATGAATGTATCCTGGGGATTATGTGCTGTGAGGTGTTAGGATGAAGGAATATGTTTTAATTTTAAGTTTTGAACAGTGCTAAAACCCCGAAAAAGGCTTTCCACCCAGGCCACCTCAGACCTTGAAGCCTCTTCAGCTTGTCTTGGGACACCTGACCCAAAGCCCAATCCAGCTTACTTTCCTTCACCTCCAGACTGAAAATGGGAAGTGCAGGAGACCATTTGTAAAGGTCGAGTTTGCAAAGCCAGAAATTTTACTGCTTCTGTGTAGTCAGTCCAGGAGCGAAATTTCGGCCCTTATTTTCTCTAGGCTTAAGATGCAGGATTCAAACTCCAACAATAAGCCTGGCCTAATCCAGTGGGATTTATTACTTACAACTCAAAAACTCCTGTCCTAATTTCCATTAGGTATGCTTCAGTTTGCCATTCCAGTTTGTGCAGAGGTAGTATTACATAACCTGCATTTTAAACTAATATAACTATTTTTCAACTTATTGAGCTTTATTAGTTGTTCCAAAAGGTATAACATTAGGAAAGGAAAGAAATGTGTTTTTCCTCATTAAATATGTGCTTAATAATTCTAAGCAATGAATGGTTCAAGGAATTTATCTAGGGAAGGTCCAGTATATGCTATGCTAACTCTTCTGAGCTGTGGTTTTATAACCAGCCTGAATGGACTTGTCATTATTGCAAAACTGGGCAAAACATGAAAAAGCACCTTGCCGGAAAAAACAGAACAGAGGATTTTAAAAAAATCTACTGAATCACAGCAACAAAATAGATAAGAAAGGACTATTTAGCTCATCTAACCTTATTCATCTCAAAAGAGTCTGTAACATTCTTACCCGCTATAGCATCTATTTACTCCTAAATGAGCCCAAGGTGTTTCCTGACACTGCCATACTTGGAAATCTATTTCACATATTATCATTTTCTAGTACTGGGTATCAGCCTCATGGTTCCAATTTGCAGTAGTTTCAAAGCTTGAGCAACTTTGTACTAACTAGAACTGGTGCACAAATTTGCAACGATTTTTTTTGAGTGCAAATCACCAGTAGGATCCAATGCTATTCATTCCTTTGTTTTGACATCTATTCCCTAACAATTACCTGCTGTTTCCTTTCCTGGCTTCTGTTTCTCATTAATTTCCATTTTCCCTTCGAAATTATTGCTTTAAGCTTACAGCTTCCTGTCGGACAGGATTGAAATAGCTTTTCAGGATGTCTCATTACACTGTGACATGAGGCTGTCCACAGCCAATTTACAATGTCACTTTCCTCACAAATTTTGAGGTCAGTTTGCTTGGACATGCCCCTTTTTGAACTAACGTTTGCCGTTATTTAACAGATTTCGACCATATATGTAACACTGAAGTGAGACCGATTGGAATGTAGTTGGCTGCACCATTTTTATTAAACTACATTTTTATAAAAAAAACTTTGTCTCCTTGCAATGCAGTTGAACATCCCAGAATTCACAACGCCTTCAAAATAGCATTTCACAAGCCTTCCTCACCTTTTACACCTTAACAATGAAAGCTGTGACCGCTGTTAAAAATTTCTCTGTTCTCCCTAAAAGGTATAAAACCTTATTTTCTCTGTGGAGCTAGCCATTTGTTTTCTTCGCATTATCAGTTATTGTAGTATAATGTGGCAGATTAGGGGATCAAATTCCAGAGATACAGTGTTGTGAATTGGTATTATACTTCATTTTCAATAGACATTCAAATTGGCCCAATGACTAATGTGAGTA